AAATAAAATAAAATAAAATAAAATAAAATAAAATAAAATAAAATAAAATAAAATAAAAATGTTATTCCTCCAGCCACAGGGAATCCTTCTTTAACATATCAGGGATGTTGAGGCAGTTGTGGACTATCAAGGTTCCTTCACATTTGTGATCCTCAGTCTGTATAATTGTACATGGATCTTCCTAGCTGTAGTTGTTCATGCTATATGCATGGATATTTCTGGAGTAACTATATAACAGGTAACAGGGGCAGAACTACACAGCATTCCCCTATTTGTGTAATGCCTGAACTGTACTATGCACACAAAACAAATCTACATATACAAGTAAGTGTGAACAAACAATTAACATAGCTTGAAAGAAAATATTACAAGGTTCAGTTATACTACTGCCAGCTGTGCATCTGGCAGTGTCTAGATGGGAGACTAGATTTTCTCATATTTGCTGCCCAGAGTTCCATGGAGCACAACTGAGATACTCTTGAAAGGAACTAACAGAAATCTGAGGAAGATGTGCCCTTAACAAATATACAAGTGTTGATAACATTCACATTCACCATATTAAAAAAAAAAAAGATGGAAACAGCAAATCTTTGCCATTTAAAAAAGACATTTTCATTACAATCTGAGGTATCAAAACACTATTTGGTGATCATGCCACATTATATTTTAAACTTACGTTGCTGAATTCATTTGAGATACCTTTGCTTAGACACATGAAGAGCAAACCATAGGTTTGTTGTTATGGACATCTACATCACCCTCACATTTCTCCTTTCCCCATGTCCCCCTTCTTCACATATATGAAGAGATTAGACACTTCTAGAGCTATTTCATGGGAAACTACAGTTTAAGACATAAAGCAAAAACCAGGATGTTAAACCAGAAAGATGATTTAGAAACCTACATTGTGGCAAATGAGTAGGGTCCACAGTATGTGTGTGCGTGTGTGTTTCAAAAAAAGGCAAGATGATGGAAGTGTTATGTTGTCCTTTTGTACGTGTACATTCCACTTCTGCCAGCTTGCCTTTTTTACCTCCATTGGACTCTGTGGGTATTACTTGTTGGAACTTAGTTCCTTCTTTCTTTTGTCTTTCTTCCATCCTCGTTGACGAAAGAGGAAGTGACATCAGGAGGAAAAAAGATACTAATGATCTTCACTCTCCTTGCTTCACCCTGCAGAGAGAGCATTATGGTTCCTTGTGTCTTGCCGTGGCACAAAATACTTTTACTAATGACACATGCCACTTTTTAAACTGTTATTGAGGGATATGTCCTCATGACATCATCTACACCTCATACCCAGCTTGCTGCTGAGGCAACCTAGACCAAATGGAGGACCTCAAGAAAATTGATATTCCTATGATAAACAACAAGTCCTAAAAGTATTCACCCCTTAAAAGGCTGTAGAGGACTCATGTAGCATCTCCCCACTCACCTCCTGGCCCTTGTGTGAAAGCACTTAGCTTAATACACAATGCAGCAGTAGCTGGAGGCTCCTGAAAAGATCTTAAACAACTGTAGCAACTCCATTCCAGCTTAATGGCATCTTTTGTGCTTTATCATACTTGCTGCTCCAAGCATGAGGTAGGTAAGAATGTGTAAAAACTCTATCTATCTGAATTGTCAGAAAAGTATTGAATTGTGAAGAATGGAAGGAAAGGCTCAGAGAGAAAAGGAATTAAAAATGCTCAGGGAACTTACATTATCACTTGTCAGTAGCAATCTTCTTTATAGGTACATAGAAACTAAACTGGACACTCAAAGGAAAATTACTTTTTAAATGGGCTCCTGATATCAACCTGTTAAAGTGGGGCTTCAGTCTTCTGGTGTTCAGATTAGGAGTCATTACCAGCTGGAAAAAAGATATATAATGTAGTATTATCAGCATACTGATGGTACTTAGTCCCATGCTGATGGATGATCTCACCCAATGGTTTCATGTAAAGTTAAACAAGCCTTCCTCGCAGCCTTTCTTTCGTTATTTCTGAACAGGGTCAATTGCTGGCTACATTGTTTATTGCTGTTCCTTTGTTGCCCCTTCCCCATGACCTTGAATGGGTCAGAAGGTTGCAAAGCAATGCATGGTGTTTTTAAGGCAGGTGGTAGTGTAGGAAAAAACTCATTTGGACTGCCCTTGGATTTCATCAGTAAAGCTGCAAGCAATGATCTATGGGGATTGTTCCCACAATATTTTACTTCCAGTTTCTCAGTCTGTCATGGAAGAAGACTGAACTATGAGTTGTTTCTTTCTGGCAGGAAAAGCACGTGATATAACCTCCTGGTTGTGAAGTGGCACTTTTAGAAAAGGCAAAGAGTTGAGAACTGTTTTCAGACTAGTGTGTCTAAACTCTGTGCATAGAAGTACTGAAAATTAGGTAGCTTGGGATGTTTTTGTTATTATTATTGGGAACAGCAACTGGTCAGTTTCTATGGAAGGGAGGGAGGAAGGGGCAGGTGCTATCTTTTCAGCAAATCATTTGCTTGAACAATTTTTTACCACTTTACAAAACAAAACAACAAACAATCATAAGTCTAGATTTCCCCCATTAGCAAAAGTTATTGGAAAGCAGTAGAAAATTATCTAGTGTTATTTCTCCTAACTTTCTATTAATGCTATTGAAAACATTAGGCAGATATGACTGATTATCAAGAGAGGTCTACTGGCATTGTCTCTGAGGGGATATCAATCTCTTCACAGCATTTAGACCAAAAGATTGATATTCCCAAGGCTACACACACACACACGCACACACACAATTAAAACTAAAATAAAATACCCACCCAGCCCCATCATCTATTCAGGAAAGCAACTGATGGTTAATTTTCCTGCCCGTAAATGATACTGGGTGGGAGGAGAAAGGATGACAGGATTCTACCAATCACTGCCCTGAAACTGTCCTTTAGTAAAAACTGTAAGGACAGCAACACTGCCCACTGTTGTTGCTGAGGTGCAGTAAATCTCAACAGTGGGGGCAGCACAATTTATGTCAACATACTTTCCTACTGATCTAAAGATGGAAGAAAAGCATTTTAAAGTGGCTGCCTGGATGAGCTTATATAACAGACGATGTAAAAGTTGAGCTGAAATCCTTAAGAACCACAGTAATAAAATGATGGGCATTTGTTTGCTTCTTAAAAAAATAAGGATATTAAGGACATAAAAAACAAGTGGATACCAAAAGATATAAAACAAACCAAAGATAATTTGTGTTACAGCTAGGATGTTAAAAAAAGGAGTAGATTCGAATCCAAATTGGCTCATGACCACATCCATGTAGTTTTCTTGGCAGCAACATGGAAATGGTTTTCCATTGCCTTCTTCTGGATTTTTTTTGTTTTTCAATTTCCCAGTCTAGCCTATAGCTTGGGAATTCCCTGGAGGTCTATCATCCAATAATTAATTAGGATGATTGATTATTGAACCTGTTTATCTTCTAAGCCCAGATAAGTTCTAATAAGTTTTGAAAGGACATAGAAAATAAGGTTTTTGAGGTATGTCTTAACACATTTCTGTTCTGTTCTGTTCTGTTCCTCATTTTTTCTTTATTTTTTTCCTTTCTATTTTAATTAATTTTCATATAAAAGATGAGCTCAGCAGCTGGAAACAAATTGTGGAAAGCAATTGGAATTTTATGTTGGTCACTGAGTTAGTTATTCTGCCCAGAAACCCAGAGAAATGTTCATGCCCAAAAACTGTTCTGCCTGAAACTGTTTGTTTGTCCTCATTAAGTGCTACAACTTTTTTTTTTTTTGTAGCCACTATTAATTCAGGGGCACCTAAACTACGAGGTTAAGGCTATCAGTTCTAGACTGGAAAAATCCCAATGACCTAGATGACAGCAAAGAGATACAGCAACAGGCCTTCTGAATACTTAAGTACAGAATGATTATCACAGTATCTTTCTTTTCTATATTCTGGCTACTTCCTTTCCCTTTCCTTCTTTTTACTTGGTACCACTGTTTCTTCTCTTAATATCTTCGTCTCTCCAAGATCTCTTCCCTTTCTTCCTGCCTTCCACATAAGGAATTGTTCAGTTTATACTCTACTTGTTTTAGTAGAATGTAAGATTTATGGTTTCATCACAAGACCTATATAAAGACTGTCCCTTTAGGACTTGAGACAGAATTCATGCCTGGGAGGTGGAGGGGCGGGGGGGAAAGGAAAAAGTGCATGATGCTATATAAAGCACATTAAAATAACCACATCCCTATTTCTGATTCTAAAAAGTTGACAGATTTCTACATCTCCCCTTGCTTTTGCTCTTTCATTTTGCACCTACTGGGAGGAGCATTCGGTAAGTGGAGTTTGTAGTAAGGGCTACATATTTGAACTGTAAAATCTTGATGCCCAAGAGATGGTAGTCAAGAAATACAGAAAACTCCAACTCTTTGCTACCATCTCATAGTCATAGTCATCCAGATTTTTGCAGCCCAGGTCTAATAGTCCTATTTTAAGCACTTAGTCTTAATCTAGTCATTATCATAATGAAATCAGAAGAAACAAGAAAAACATACTCATATTTTAGTGACTGGCAAATAAATATTCCTAGTTGGTTATAGAACATCTGAAAAACAGAGCTGATTACAATTTATGATAAAATTGTAGTGGGAAGAATTTGCAGAGTTGGGAAGGGTTAATCTTTTCCTTTAAGCAGCAACTACATCTCAGATATATTCCTGCTTTAAAACATTAACATTAATAATATTTATAATATCTAAAATCTATAGGCCAATCAACCTGGTACTGAAAGCATAAGACAGGTACCAGGCAAGCCTCTATGGAGAATGCATTGCGGTTTACCATCTACTTTACTTCTGAAAATAAGTTCCTGCCCCAAAAAGTGCCATGAAAGTTAATCTTAATGTCTCAGCAGTTATGTGTGTAAACAAAGTCATTTTAATCTATATATGCAAGCATTTTCCAGCCTTACTTACCATAGCGATTTAATGTGATTCAAAACAAACAAAAATTAAGGTAAAAAATGTTGATGAAATCTTGGGAGATCTCACAAGTGACCACTAACTTCTTGTGAAGATTTTACTTATTTTTTTAAAATAACGTCAGCCTACTGGTTCTTACTAAAACATACTAGCACAGTTATCCATTCAGAGAATTTGATAGTGAGTTCACCAACTATCCATCCAATTGCTATGCCAATATGCACTTAACAGTCCTGACATTTGAGTCTTCACATTCACCCTCAGGTTCAAGTCCACCTCAGCCATGGAAGCTCATTGGGTGAGTTTGGGCCAGTCCCTAGGGCTGTGCTGTACTTCAGAGCATGGAGGGGTGTGCAAATAGCGCCTATCTGCAACTCCTTAAACAAAGCATCTATTCTCCGGGTTGCAAAATGAAGCCTCAAAATCCCAGGGGGGTAAAAAAACAGCTGCTTTAAGGAGTTCAGGACAAGTACCTTTTTCCTGTCAAATCAGAAGTACTGATAGGTCTACCAGCCACTTTCATTCAGACCAACTTACCCCAGAGGATGATTGTTGTGGTAGTAAAATTATGGAGGCCACCTTGAGCTCCTGGAAGAAAGGTAGGATATAAAATTAACAATGAATAAATAAAATTTGCCCAACATACACAGGGAGAAAGACAGACTGATTCACTCATAAAACAGATTGATTCACTCATTGCTTTTTTCTTTCTGATGACTACAACATCACCTCTGTCATGACAGACCTATAATTTATTGAGACAGAAACTAACTATATTAAGAATTTGTAGTTTAGGCACTATTCATACAGGTAAACATATTTGACGTTACCTGGCAACACCAGATTCTGTTATACTTTGGAGAGTATTTGAACTGAACCCAAATATAAATCACAAATGTAGCAATAACTAGCTGATGTAAAAACACCTGCATTGTATCTCTGAATCCCCATGCACAAATCCCCTAAGCTGCAAAACCATGACACTTTAATGTAGCTTATGAAATTTATGTGTGTTATCAGCATATTCACTGAACCAACAGAATTTATTGAAGAGAATTTTAAGAACATGATATTTGATTCCTATCAGCTCTATTGGTCAGAGGAAAGAAAATTAACCATGTTCCATGAAGCAAATCTCCCACATAGCAACAGTAAACATTAGTCTATTGTTTGTTCATGAAAGCTACAAATGCCAGAATCTGCAAATATTTTATGACTTGTATTATTCCATCTTGACATTGTCATAATTCATCCATAAACTTTCTCTTATTCCTAAGTAAATGCTTGAAAAAGTTGAACATCAAATCAACCCTCAAATTACTTAAAAATAGACCACTTAGGTTCAAGGAGATTATTGATACAACATTAACAGTATATAATACCACACTTGTCTACTTAAAATAAAGCAACTGAATCAATGAAATTGCTTTTCAAGAAAATTTATATAGGACTGCAGTGTTACAGTGTCAACCTATGCCTGTTTGTTTGTTTATTAGGATTATACGCTGCTTCAATCCCCAAGTGATTCTGAGCAGCTCACAAACTTCATTCAATAGCACAAATTTTTAAATTACAAAACCATAATAATAATGACAAAACAAAAAGAATAATTAATTCAACCAAAAAGAAAAATTTAGCTCTGGGAAAATCACATATCCAACATACATTCCCCTACCAGAAGCAACCATCCCATCCTTCATATCCCAAAGGGTTCCTGAAATAGCCAGGTTTTCATGGGTTCATGAAACCCCAGAAGTATAGAGAACAATAAGATTTCTCAGAGGTATTATTCTAAAAAAACAAAAAATGTGTCCCCAAGATCCCTGTACATAGTATTCTCTAAGAGGAGAGACACAGATTTATCAGATGGGCAAAGGCTACTGTCCCAAAGAAAGCAGATGCTGAGCAACAAGGCGAAAACCAACACC